TCAGCCCAGCCCCTGTGCAGCCCTTGAACCCCATTGCTTCTCAACATCCCACACAGTCTTCCAACCCACCACTCACTCCCCCATGATAATTTTTTCTCCCTTGATTCTCATGAGCTCTTAGTAGGGAAAGGTAAAATAAACATACAATAGAAAGAAAACATCAAATTTGCTAAGTCATTGCCATAGCAAAATATGTGACCAGAGTGCAAATGATGTGACTATTTCTCCCCACGAGGTTCTCCACATGGTTCTTATTGAAAAGTCAGTCTTGAGACAGAAGTGTCCTCAAGTGTGGTGATTACCAAGGTCTGATTTTTTGGTTGAAATTGCTTATAACCCCTTCTCCCATGATTCTCAAGATGAGCCTTGTGGAAATGTTTCATTCATTGACAAATATATGTGGTGCACCCCAAGCAAGGTACATAGTTAAATGGGACCCACTCCCTGCCCTCATTTGCCCCATTATCTCCTTCCCCACAGCCTCCCAATTTCCCACTTGGGTAGGCAATGTGATAACTTCATGACTTCAGCTCCCGTCTTCAGTCTCCCACTTCCTCTCCAATTCACTCTTCATACCGATGTCTCAGGTTGATTTCTAAACAGCACTCTGTTTTCCTGGTCAAGTTACTTCCTGTTTAAAATTTTCAGTGCCCCCAAGAACAGACATATACTAGACCAGTGGAACAGAACAGAGAACCCAGAGATTGACACAAGCTATTATGCTCTATTAATATTTGACAAAGGAGGCAAGAGCATACAATGGAGTCAAGACAGTCTCTTCAGTATATGGTTTTGGGAAAATTTAACAGATACATGCAAAAAGATGAAACTAGACCACCAACTTACACCCTACACAAAAATAAACTCAAAATGGATAAAGGACTTAAACGTAATATGGGAAACCATAAAAATCTTAGAAGAAGCCATAGGCACCAAAATAGCAGACATTTGTTGTAGCAATATCTTTACCAATACAGCAACTAGGGCAATGGAAACTAAGGAGAAAATAAACAAATGGGATTTCATCAAAATAAAA